GTTGATCCGTGATAGTGACGTATGGCTAGATCGATTCCTTTTGACTAGGGCGAAGGCTTTCTTGCGTGGGTGGAGGATTCGAAAAGGGTCTACTAGGTCGAACTCCGTCATGATGTTTCTAAGGTGTGTGCTTGCTCGTGTGGGTCCCAGCAACGTTGCTCGGGAAATGCGGTCCAGGTTGGGATCCAAAGTGGTGTTCCAATCGCCTGCTAGATTAACGGTAGGGGGTTCGGGAAGAGTGATTTGATGTGGTCAAAGAAAGCAAGGCGTTCGGTTTCCGTGTCGGGGGCGTATATGTTCAGGATCCTCATCTCTTCCTCTTGCCATGTGATTTGGATCCATGACCATCTACCTTCTGCTGTGTCGCCTTCGCCGTTGCTTACCTGTCCTTCTGACCAGATTTTGGAAGTAGTTGGTATGAGGATAGTTGTGCTGCGATTGCTTTGGTCCGCTTTGTTGGACCACATTGTGAAAGGGCATCCACCTAGGTTTTGTTCCACAGTCCTCTTGATTCTGGTGTCATTGGTGAGGTTGGATACATGGGTCTCGTGTAGAAGGATGACGTCGGGTTTGGACTTTCTTTTGTCTGTGAGACCGAGTCTGATGTCCTGTAGTTTGTCGTCTTCAGTGAGAATGTTGCCCAGGGCGTTGACGTTCCAGCTATGGATCGTCAGTCCTTTGGCTTGCCCGTCTACTCGTACTGTCCCAGACTGATTCTCGTTGCAGTCCATTAGATTTCATCTGACGGGGTGCTGTGTTCAGATTTTTTTTTATTTTTTTTTTTGCTTGATTGGGGTGGACGTTTGTTGAGCAGGATTGATAGTTGGAGGTTTGATATATCTAGTCCACGACAGTCGGGTTCTCGCTGCCCTCGCTGATCTCTTTCCCCGGAACTGAGCTGAGACTGTATGCCCCCACGCTACCTTCAGGTAACGTCGTGGCTCCAGTCTCTGCTCCTTCCAGGGGAATCCCGTCGGCCATCCCGTAGTCTTCGTCGTCAGCTATACTTCCCTCGTCGTCATCGGGCTCCACGTGGAGCGCCATGGCTTCGTCTTGTAGGAGTGTTCTGAGATGAACATATGGGACCTGATAATGGAGGCCAAGGAGACCGCCATGACCTCTGTCGGGCACATCTTGCCTGCAAGAGTGTCGTACGGCAGCGCTGTCACAGTGTTCCATGCTCTCCATATCAGCCCTTCGTGTAATCTGGCTTTCTCGTCCAGTTTCACTATGATTGGCTCGAAGGACTTGGCTGTGTCGGGGTCCTGCTCTGTTTCGTCTGCCTTCTCTGCCTCGGCCGCTGGGACTTCATAAACGTCTGCAGGGAATTCATCGGGGTCTTCTTTCTCACTTCCGGTCCCTTCCTTCTTCTTCCTCTCCGTGTCCGAGCTCAGCGGCTATGGCCGCCATTGTTCTCCTTGAGCCACAACAACCAATCTTGTATCGCTCCTCTCTCTCTCTCTCTCTCTCTCTCTCTCTCTCTCTCTCTCTCTCTCTCTCTCTC